TCCGGACTGGTGGGGATTTAGAGATAGAAATTGGAAAGAAGTCAGCAAAGTCGTTACTGAAGAGGAAAACAGAAGGAGCAATTCGTGCCAAACTTCAGAAGCTCTGAGCCGGGCCTCCAAAGAACAGAGGCTGCAAAGAGCAGCAGATCCCTTTGATCCCGAGACATTGACAAGGTCATAGGACACTCAGCAGACTTGGTCTGAACATCTGATTGCTACCTGATTACTTCCAGAATGGGATTGCTGGCAGGCCAGCTGGCAGACCCACTTTCCCCATGGTGATGCTTATCTAATTTTTACCTCCTTTGTTCTCCGCTGTCTCCTGTACTCCACATCATCTCTCTAGAAATAGAAGCATTTTCCTGAAAAGGCGAGAAAGCTTTGATTGCGGCACTCCAGGGCTCGCGGGGACCTCCGGGGCCAGCTGCCAACGACCCCCCACCCCACAGCGTCGGGCAAACTCTAGGGCAGAATTTCCTGTGCATACATCACTTGCTCTCCACCTGCATTCCTGAGCCCTGGCTGAGAAGCCAGAAGATGCAGGGTGAGGTATACGAGCTGCAACTCAGTTTCTTCATGTATAAAAAGAAGTCCACAGAATCACGATGGAGCCGCAAAGATCAGGCAAGGCAGTGTGCCTGAAAGTGCTACTATAGTCGGGGTGGTATTATTGTGGTGGTGGTTGTTGCTCCAGCTGTTCACGCTTCAACCACTGTGCCTCTATGTTTGTTGCCAAATCCAGCGATATATTAGTTAGAATTAAGTTTGGCTGCTAATTACAAAAACAAAGTAAAACTGACTTAAAGAAGAGTTTATTTCTCTCATCTGAAATCTGTCCCCAGTTGTTATGGTACTCAATGGTATCAAAGATCCAAGATCCTTTTATCTTGTTGCTTTACCATGGGTAGCTTCCATTCCTAAGGTCACTTCATGGCCCAAAATGGCTGTAGGAGATCCAGCCATTACATGACAATCCAGTCAACAGAAAAGAATTGCTAAGAAGAGCATGCCTCCTCCCTTTTAGGACACTTCTGGAAGGTGTAGCTCTCCTTCCCTCATTGGCCATCCTAGACACAGGGCCACATCTGGCTGCAAGGGAGACTAGGAGATAGGGTATTTATTCTGAGTGACCATGTGCCCAGCTAGGACTCAGGAAGAAGGGGAAGCTAGGGAGTCTCTACCACAAATGGTCATTTCTCCATCTTCATCTTAATCTACCTGTCAGCGGCATTTCAGCACTCCCTGCGAAAAGACTTTCTTTCCTTCACTACTGAGAAGGAAACCACACCTTCCCAGTTCTCCTCCTCCTCTCTGCTACCCTTAAATGTTGGAATGACTCAGGGCAGTCCTGGGGACGCCCCTTCCTTCTCTGTCCATACTCTCCTCCCAGGTGATCTCATCTAGCCTCAAGAACCTAAATGCCGATCCAGGTGCCAAGAAATCCTAAATCCAGCCCTGGCCTCTCCCCCTAATTCCAGAATCATATATACAGCTGCTACTTGCCACCCCCTCTTGGATGTCTAATGGGTGTCTCAACCTCCACTCCTCTCCACCCATAGACTTGCACTCCCCAAGTTTCTCCCATCACAGTAAGTGGCACCAGTGACTTCAGCCAGGGAATCTGGAGCTGATCTTAATTCCTCACTTCTCCTATACTCCCCACACCCACGCCATCAGGAAGTCATAGTGACTATCTTCAAAATATATCTCAAGGTCCACTTGCTTTCACGTGCACCACTGTGATCTAGATCCCCTAGATCTCCACAGTAACCTCCTGACTGGGCCTCCCTGCTTCCCCTCCTGCCTCCTATTACCTATCCTCACACGACAGAGTGAGATTTTATTTTATTTTTTTAAGATTTTATTTATTTATTTGACAGAGAGAAAGAGCACAAGCAGGGGGAGTGGCAGGCAGAGGGAGAAGCAGGCTCCCCCCTAAACAGGGGGGAGCCCGATGTGGGACCCGATCCCAAGATCCCGGGATCATGACCTGAGCCGAAGGCAGTCGCTAAACCAACTGAGCCACCCAGGCGCCCAGAGTGAGATTTTAAATAAGCAAATTGGGACAAAGGGGGTGATTCAACACAGGCATCTACTTTGTTGCCCCTGGAAACTCTTCTAAGATGACCATAAGCGTATTTTATAAGGTGTATATCCTAAAAGACAAAGAGTGCAGGGGAGGGGATAATAGTAACAAAAATTCAGACGTTGGAAAACAGAAGGGTGAGTGCCAACTGATTTAGCAAACCTAAGAAAGCTGAATCCTTGCCCAGACAAAGCCAGAAAGGAACATGACTTATACCACCGAGTCCCCCAAAGTTCAGACTTGATAGCACCAGGTATCTCTGGAAGTAGAGGTAATGAGAGGAGACAGATCCCCCAGCTCCTCTCCTCAACTCCACGCAGCCACGGGACGGCCCCCTGCACTCAGGCAGGAGGAGCCGGCAGAGGGTGACAGGGAGTGGCTCTGGGCTGGGGCGCCAGGTCCAGGAGCAGAAAACAGGGAGTGATGGAAGCATACATAGTGAACATTGAGACGTCCTCGGCACTCTTCTCCCAACTTGGTTCCCGGAATGCTGGGGGCCGGTCAGTTCTCCCCAGTGAGAAACTGGAGGGACCCTTGCCACGGAACCTGACCAGATGAGGAAGAGCTCCCCTATAGAAATCCACTTGCTGACATCAGAGCTGCCAGAGGGCTGAGTGCAGCCCGGGGGGTCAGAGCCACTCAGGGGCTGTGGGTCCCCCTCTGAAGTACGGACAACTGAGGGGGACTGGCTTGGGAGGAGAGGCTTGGCCACGGGCATCAAAGACCAAGCGCACCAGGAGAAACGCAGCCGGGAGGAGATGCATCAGGTTGGGAGAGGAACCACAGCTCTGAGACCCCCGCTAGCCTCAGCACAATGAGTGCAGACATAGCCCCCCGGGAACATGGACAGCAGGTGCCCCAGTGCATTGCGGTCCTTCCCGCCGCTTCAGCGCGCCCAGGCCTTTCCCACCCCAGCACTCTCGAAATAGGGGTTCCCTTCCCTAGGTCTTCACGTGGCTGGCTCCCGTCACCTCAGAGAGGCCTTCGATGCCCACCCACTCCAAAGAAGGCCCCCCAGCCACAGCCTAACAAGAGTGGCCAACTCCTCCTGGAGAGCACCAGAGAGGGAGTCTTCAGGCATGGCCAGCCACCGATGTCCCCGCCCCGCTGCTCAGCGCTGGGTCACTGCGTCCGGGTCGCCACATGGCCACACGAATGCCGCTGTGCACGGTAGGGAACGGGGACCGTGGCTGCCTTCCGGTCACATTCTATTTAGACTCTGAAACTTGACTTGCAGATTTTTTTTCCAACCATTTAAAAACGTAAAAACCACTCTTAGCTTCCGAGCTATCCAAAAACAGGCGGCAGGCCAGATACGGCCAAACCCTGTTCTGATACATCATCCTGTTTAATTTTTGTCAAAGCGCTGACCACTTCCTGCTATTTTCTTGTTTCTTTGCCTTTTCTCGTTGCTTCTTATCCGTTTCCCCCGCTAGAACGGAGGCTGAGAGCAAAGCCCCTGGCCATCACTCTGGTTCCCTCAGCACCTAGAACAGTGCTTGGCACACGGCGTGTGCTCAACCATGTCTGCCGGGAGCCGAACGCCTGCTGTGCCGCCTGGGGGGGGACCCCACGCCCCCAGCAGCGACGCCCCCCCCAGCCCTGCCCCGCCCTCTCCCCTCTCTCGGTTCCTGCTCCCCTTCCTTCCTTTCCTCAGTCCTGAGCTGTAGGCCCCTCTGTGAGGCCCAGGGCTACCCACAAGCCTGAGAGCCAAGAAACACTCCCCCTAAGGCCGCCTGTCTTCTCGGCTCCCAGCGCTAAGGATGAGGGAACAGTGGTGCGCCGCTGGGCCAGCCCCCAGACCCAGAGGCTGACCCGCAAGGCCAGGCCTCCTGCTGACCACCAAGGAAAGGACAGAAGGGGGGGAAATGGAGCCTCAGGATAACTCCTTCTGAGGAAGGCCCGCACAAATGCTCTAACTTTTCAGCACGATGTAATGGGGCTTGAGACAAAGAAGGAGCCATCTCTGACCAGTGTCCGGAGAAAAGGATTCCTTGGGAGAAGTCCGGTCCCCAACGTGAGGCAGGGCCACCAGACTCTGAACGTTGGTGGCCACATTCCTTTAACGTTCAAGCCCAACTCCCTGCTCGAACATATGCGCAAGCTACCGTACTCAAGTGATTTGGTTTCCGGAGGAGGAAAGAATGTGCCAGTAGGCAGACGAGTACAGCCCGAGTACGGCCCGTGACCGGGGCGTGGCACTGCTCCCCGCGAATTAATCAAGTGGCCCTCGGGCTTATCCATCCCGCCTATGGGTCAAGGGCTGAGCTCACGTTCCTCACGTGCCACGCTAGGAACCACATCCCCACCAGCCCCTGCCTGAACCTCTCGTTTTGACCACTCTTCAAATCCAGTGGGCTTTGTGTCCTTCTGTGGTTGACAAAGCACCTAATGCTCTGCGTCGACAACTGCAGTGCGCACAGCTCATGCCAGAAGCCCCCCACTCGGGCACTGACAAAGGATTTATGGGGCCGGGACGGCCGCCAAGGCCCCGCGCACTGCCAGCCCGATGGCACGGGCTTGAACCTTACCCGATGTTTTTGGTTTGTTTTTTTTTTGACAGAGAGAGAGAGAGCACAAGCAGGGGGAGCGGCCACAGAGGGTGAGAGAGGAGCAGGCTCCCCGCTGAGCAGGGAGCCCGATGCGGGGCTCGATCCCAGGACACTGGGATCACGACCCGAGCCGAAGGCAGACGGCTAACCGTCTGAGCCCCCCAGGCGCCCCAAACCTTACCCGTTTGCAGGCACCCCCGAGGGCTCGCTACTGTCTTGGGAGGGACGGCGCTGGCCGGGCAGCGGCTCTCGGGGGCTCGGAGTTCCTGCTCCCACGGACACGCTGCAGTGGATGTTCCCTGTCTGGCTCTCTTCACACGAGACTTTCAATTCCAGAAAAAGAAACCACTCACACAAAGGCCTTTGTGTAGGTAGCAGACTTTACTGAAGATGTGGGGAGACAAAGGGGGGTTACATAGCAAAAATACAAAAACTTGAAATTGAATATTAGACATCCATGAGCTTAAAAATAAAAAGACCTTTAGCCATTCCCGCCAACTGGGCTCCAGACTTCTACAAAGGTGCTGGGCCACCTCTCCCATCCTCTCTCAGGAAGTAAACCAATCCCAATTCCAGACAGTCTCTTATTCACACTGCCCTAGCCCACCATTTGTTCCGTGCTCCCTTTTGAGACCCTTCCCTGGGGCCTCTTTCCCCTCATGGGCCACAAAGTTATTTTCTCAGTTAAGAACACTTCCTTCCCCCCATTTCTGAGACCTGAGGATGAAAGTCTAAGCGCTGTCTCTGCTGGACAGTTCCCACAAAAGTGAGAGCCCAGGGCCTCCTCGTGGGCTCTCGGAGACAGCAGAGCTTGGTGTGTGTGTGTGTGTGTGTGTGTGTGTGTGTCTGAGTGTGAGCATGCGTGTGCATGAGTGTGTGTGTATGTGAGTGTGAGAGGGGTAGAAAGAGCAGAGTCAGGGCAGGTTTTAACAGCCCTAAGTTACCACCATCCACTGAGTGCGCACCTTGAGCTCGGGCTGTCACCTTTCTCCCAACAGCAACCTAAAGTCAAAGCCACTTTATTCCCATTTCCCAAGTGGGGTTCTGAAGGTCTGAGGAGGTGAGCTATTTGCACAAGATCGCATAACTTAGCAGCAGCCAATTCGGCTTCTTAAGAACGACTCCTATATCACTTGAAGTCTTTGGGGGAAAGCTTCTTGCTTTCATTTCTGGAGCTGACATACCAGATAAAGTAAGCAGGGGTGGGACACAGCAACCACTGGCTACACCTGCCCGGGAGGTAAAACACACTGCTGCTCTCACACCCCCCTCTGTGCGGTTTGGCCCAGGTGAGCACCGCTGACCCCACAGAGCCCTGCACCAGGCCGAGCGCCGCGGGCCGTCAGGAGCTCCCTGCCGCCCCCAGCCCTGCCTCTCTGAGCTGCCTGCCTCCTCCCTCCAGCCCGGTCAGCACCTGCCCACTGTCCTCCGAAACCTGCGGCGGGGGAGAGGAAGCAGCTGATGGACTAAGCACACACAGTCTGAGGGGCCTGAGCCATGGCCGCCCCTCGATCCTCACTCCACTGGTTTTAGTCCTGAAAGGGCAGAGATGGTATCTACACACAGGTGCACACACACGCACCCTAAAGTCCTTCCGTGTGGGGTGCTCACCCCACTCCATGGACGTTCACTGATGGCCACTGAGGCAGTCTGCTCAGTCACTGTCAAGATAAGCGGTCTGTTTCCACGTCCCCATCTCAACCACACCCCCTGCTAACTCTAGACCTGTCACCCTCGTGGGCTCAGGGCCGTTACTCACCTCCCGGGCCCAAACGGCACCAGCGCATGTTTACTGAGCACCTGCCATGTTCCAGACGTGGTGTTTCGTTTACAGAAAGTAAGAGGCCAAGGAAGCTACAGTCTGCACCCACAGACGCTGAGTCTAGGAGGAAAGACAGACTCAGGAGCAGACAATTACACATGCTTCTCTGTGGGCCCCAGCAGCCCCAGAGTCCATTTCTAAAAAAATCAAAGATTAAAGATCAAAAAGACTTACTCCCTTGCTTCAAACACTTCCAGGACCTCCCTTCACATGGAGTAAAACCCAAAGTCCTTGCCAAGCAAGGCGGTGCTGGGCTGGGGAGGGAGCTGAGTTCTTTGCCCTCCCCCTTCGCCCCCCAGGTCTGGACAGCTGGCCCAGGGCAGGATCTGGCCCCTGTCGCCCCCGTACCTTAGCCCATACAGCTCTCACTCTCTGCACCTGCCCCAAATCCATACCTCCCCTGCCTCTGCTCAGAATGCCTTCCCCCACCTTCCCCGGGCTTGCGAGGCTTCACCAGTGACTCTCACATCAGCAGCCCTCTCTGCCTTGAAAGCACTTGTCACAGTCTACATGTCCTATTACTTGCTCACTTAGTTTTCTTCCTCAATGAAACATAAGCTCCCTGAGGACCTCGTCTGTCTGGGTCAGTGATACCTTCCCAGCGCCCGCACAGAGCAGAAGTTAAGTAAATAGTTGCTAACTGAATGAATAAACACACTAATACTCTAAGCAAGTTAGTTCACTTCTCTGTGCCCCATTTTCTGCATCTTTCAAATGGGGACAGCACAGCACCCACTGGCTGAGGATTAGAAGAGGTGACAGAGGTCCCTATGTTCTGGGTTAGGAATGGAAGGCTTTTGCCACCCAAGGGCAGGTGTGACTAACCCCTCCGCATGAGGAGGGGTGACCGCACATCGGCCCTTGAAGCATGAGTAACAGTTCTCCAGTAGGAGAAAAGGGCAGGGCATGACTGGCCGGGAGAACATGTGGGGCCAAGGCCTAAAGGCAGGGAAGGGCACCCAATTCAGAGGACACAGGGCAGTGCCAGACAAACCCTCGAGAGCGGTGGGCCAGGTGGCCATGGGGGGAGGCATCTACACCTGCATTGGTGGCTGACTGGTCTGGACCTTACAGCTCTAAGTACATGACTTTCCATGAGGCTGCTGAGGTCAGCTCCTGAAGAGAAGGGAAAATGCACAGCTCACACGTGGCCCCCGACATCTGCTCCGACTCGTTCCCACCCGTAACACAAAAGATCATCTTAACTTGTGCATGTGCGCCATGGCCGAGAGGCTGCTCACACATCCTCCATGAGTACCTGCCTGAAGGCTCACCGTCAAGCCAGAAGGGTAGGCATCATTCCCCTTATCCAAACAGCCCGAGGGGAGAGGTGAGGAGCGAGGGTGAGGGTTGTGACAGTGACCGGGGAGGGGCGGGGGAGCCTTACACAAACCCGCCCATGGACATGTGAGCACATGCCGTCTGCTCAGGGCCTCCCAGACCCCGCGCCCACCTCCACAACACGTCTTTTGATGAGAGCCAGCCCCCACATACAGTAGAGTTAGGCAACTTGGCACGAGGTCTAGCAGCAGTCCAGAGGCCTTTGGTTAAAGTTGCTTTTTGATGAGAAGAGGCAGTCTTGGCCCGTGAGGGCAGGATACGGGATAGCTGGCTTCTTTTCCCCATCTGGAATGCTGGCCAGCCTTCGGCCCATCTGCTTATCTAAACACCGCCCATCCTCTAAGGGGCAGCCCCTCTCCATTGCAACCTCCTCCCTGTATCTTCCACACCCTGCTGTCTCCCATCTCTGAACTCCAGTTTCTGTGAGGATCAGGCAACCCCACTTAGGAGTTCTCTGATCTGAGTTTTTAGACTGCAAGCCCCTGCTATTAATAATAATGTATATTTATCGAACACATTTATGTGCTCGGCACTATTCTAGGCACTCTACATATACGAGGTAGGTACTCTTATTATACCCATTTTACAGATGGGGAAACTGAGGCACAGTGAAATTAAGTAACTTGCCCCAAGGCCACAAAGCTAGTCAGTGCCCAAGTGCCAGGATTTCAATCCTAGCTGTCTGACTCAAGCCCTTGATCCTCAGCACCATTCCATAAACACCTCCTAGATGCTGTCTTACTCACTTTTCTATTCCCATATATCTCCCTGAGTGCTGGGCACAAAGTAAACACCTGTAGGTTGAATCTTGGTTCCCTTCTGCTCCAGGCTTCTGGAACCGTGGTTCCCATTAAGGGTGATACGAGGGCCACTAGATGGCAGCAAAGAGCCAGACCCAGGCCTCCCTGAGGGAGGGGAGGATAAACTAATTATAACAACATTTATTTAGTGCATCTTGCACCAGGCACTTATAGACATTAGCTCTCTTTCTCACTAAGTCCTTCTAAGGTAGGTTCTATTGCCCTCCCCTTTACGGAGAGCAAAGGACACCAAGGCTCAGACTGGTGGAGAAATTTGCCCAAGGTCAGACAGCTAGGAATACCAGGACTGAAGCCAGGACCACCAAAACCCTAAGCCCATACAGTTCTCCCAAGAGATAAACCAAGGAACCCTTCACTGGTTCCCTCGAGGCTCAAGGTGGGTTCCACACCCCTCCTCCATGCACAGGGCACACAGACTCTACTACTCTGGGGAGGGAGTGGACAGCCCGGGCAGGCTCCTAGGCAGTCACCACCTAGCAGGCACCCTGGCTGGGAGGGAGCCCAAGGTAGGACTCACAGAACATCAGAACTGGGTGGTCTCAGAGACCACTGGTCCACTACAGGCCTCTGACCCACTTTCCGGGCCTTCACCCCCACAAAGGATACTGTGTGACACCAGCCTCAGCACCTAAACTCCACAGTCTGGCCTCCACACCATCACTCCCGGCCTCCCTGTCTCAAGCTCTGGGCTATGCAATCCACTCCCACCGGGGAGGGATGAAAACTATCTAGAGAGTTCTGGCTGTGTGCCCTTCCAGCCTTTCCAATAACTGTCACCTCCACACCTCAAACCCAACCCCTGGGCTGGACCGAGCCTCCCTGTTCGCTGTCCTGGGGCCAGGGCACCAAAGGTGGCCAGGACACTGTGCACAAGTCCCTGCAGGGGCCCACATGGGGATGCACAGAACAGGGCCCGAGAGCCTAGCCCCCGAGCCCAGCCCCCGGCCTCCCGGCATGGCCAGCAACTTGAGTGGCAGCAGAGAAGTCATCCCATCAGGAGCTTTGCATCTGGCGACATTCCTGGGTGAGTCCATGCGGGATCTCTGGGGCTGCTTCTGGCCTGCTCCCCAGTCTGCCCCCCTTCTCCCGTAGTCCCTCCCGAGGCTCAGACAGCCAGATCAGGTCCTCCGAAAATACACACCATCTTGGGTTTATTTGGGGTTGAGCATTGCAGGTTCAGGCACAGTTTGTTCCTGGCTAGGAAGAGTCAGGGCCTCTCGGCTCTCCTGGCAATTCAGGCCCCTGCAGATCCCCTCCCCGTGTCCCTGCACACACGACGTCTCTTCCCCCCTCCCTGCTCCCTGAGTCTCTTATTCTTTCACCAGCCGGTAGATATGGTGCTGAGCCCCGTGCTCGCTGGCTGACACCTCAAAAACATATGCAATGCACAGCAGCGTCTCCTGCGTGTCTCTGTTGGTGACCACCTGCAGGGGACGAAAAAGATGGGAGTTAAAGCCCCAAACAAGGGCACGCCATTTGCTCGACCCACTGATCCCCTCCCGCCGCACACCTGCAGCACACCTGTCCCTAGCACACACACACACCTGCAGGATGGTGAAGTTCTCCAGCACGCTGTTCATCATGTACTTCTCGGGCAGGTGCTTCAGCTTGTGGATGAAATTGATCATGTACTCGCACAGCGGCGACCGATGAATGCGGTATGAGTAGTGGCCGTTCTCATAGCGGGCATACTCTGTCTGCAGGACCCAGGGGGCAGCGGGGGCTTAGAATTTCTCTTGGCCACTTCCAGCCCCGGCCCAACTCTCGGGGGAAGCTCCATGACCCACTCACTGTCCACCTCCTCGGTCAGTGACGGGCAGACCAGGTCGACGAGGGGGGAGCCCAAGAACATAAGCGCAGTGGCACTAGGCAAGACAGGACAGAGCAGTGACACAGTCCTGGCTGCACACACACGCTAACAGGCACAGTGAGTGCATGGAAGCAGGTGCCATCTGAACCACACTGCTGGGCTGCATCGATGTCCATCTCCTGGGTGCCAGGATGATACTTTAGCTATGCACGATGTGGCCAGGTGCAGGGTACACGGGGTGACAACTGCACTGCATGTGGAGCCATAATTATCTCAAAATAAACATTTAATTAAAAATAACTCAAAAAGCATTTTATAAACTACTATTGCTGCAGAGCGGGTTCTAGGCACTGGTGCGTTTCCACAGTCCCCAGATGACCACAGGGGTCGCGGGGCCGAGAAGCCCGGGGATGGGCATGGTCTCTTCCCGGGTACCAGCCTGGCATCTGGTTGTTGGACAGGAGGTGGTTACCAAGAACTGCCAGATGTGTGAGGGGAAGAGCTCACTGACTCAGACAAATCCGGGGAAAGAGGTGGCGACAAGGAATAAGGGCATACTGAGGCACGGAAGGGCCTGGCCTAACAAACACACAGGGTGGGGGGTGAGGGGGCTCCTACCTCCACTTTCTCTACCACCTGCTTGCCGAAAGAGCAGACCTTGGTGGAACAAGTGATTATCATGTTCTCTGGACTCTCGTACTGGCTGGAGACCCCGTAGAAGGAGCTGCCTTCATCCTCGATGTTGGTGTTGAGGTCTGCCTGGAGAAAGACACAGGGAAGACAAGCAGTGGACAGGTGAGTCAACAGGGGCCTTGCTGGGGGTGGAATGGAGGAGAACCCTGGGGCCGCTCCAGGTTCCAGGGCCAGGAAGACATCAGGAGGGCCTAAAAAGAACTGGGAGAATAGGATCTTGGAAAGCTTCCATGCTTCTCCACACCCAGGCCTGGCATAACATCAGGGTGTGGTGTCTCAACAATTGAAAAAGAGAACGTTGTCACCTGCATTAGTCGCTGGCCTCTGCTACCCATTTAGGCACCAACACACCCAGCAGGTGCGGCCCCCAACTTTGTCTTTAGGATTCAAGTTTTATAGTCTAAGGCTTTGCTCTTGTTAAACTGCAAACATCTGAATCTATATCAGTCATTTCTATTTTAGTATGAATTTGTCAGATCCTTTCCAGAGTCAATTTTGATGGTGCAGTAAGCGTGGGAACAGAAAGCCAGAATGGGAGACTGGCAGAGGGGAGAGTAGGAGGGGGTGCTGGGACTCCTCTATGTCTCATCCTCCAGTCCAGCTGGTCACTGGACCCTGCCAGTGCTCTTTTGGAAATGGCTCTGGGGGCCGGCCTCTCACCCATCTCTACGGCATTACTGAGTCCAGCCACCCTTGACCTTTTTACATCTCTGTTTCAGATTCCAGACGAATCCCCCCCAATGCCAGTCTCCTCCCCTTTGGTTCATTCTCTAACTTCTCTGAGAGTTCTCTTCCAAAAACAAGTCTGACTGCATCCCTCCATGGTTAAAACGCTCCCACTGAGCCCCTTGCCATAAGAGAACATGATGCTCACTCCCCAGCCTGGCTTGGGGGCCCCTGGTCCTCTAGATCAGCTTCTTGCTGTTCCCCAACACACATCTTTTCTTCCTCTGCTGACAGCAGAGCCTAAAGTACCTCCCGCTGGACGTTGAGTTGATTTGAAATTTTCCTCTTAGAAAAGGTGGGGTAAGACTCCTGATTTCACACACACCCCCGCAAGAGGGATAGAGCAGGATCTCGGCTTCAGTTTGATCAGTGAGGCTCCCTGACCACAGGTCCAGCCCAACCCCACACAGCAGACAAGTGACGGGCCCCAGGTGTTCAGGCTCCCACTCCAGCACTTAACTGAATCCGGCAGAGTTACAGAAGAGAGAGGGAGACACTGGATGAGACAATTCAGTGCCTTGGCAGCTCTGAGGCTGCCACTTAGGCATCCCCATCCCCAGAACTTAGGCCCCCCACTGAATCACCCCATCTGAGCCAGGGGTGCTAAAAGAGCAACTTAGCACTCAGAACAAATGCACAGATTTAAAAAGGCTTAGTGTGAGGGTGCAGCCTCTCCTCCCACCTACACAGCCAGCCTGGAATCCCTGCCAGGCTGGACCCGCAGTGCGGCAGCCCTACAAGGCAGCAGAAGCTGTAGACGCAGCTCAAGAATCCGACACCAAGGACTCCTCTACACAAAAATAAGGGACTCCTCAGAACCCTGGAAGGTTCTGGCACCATTCAGAGACGGGCACCAGGCAGTTCTGTTACTGGCCATTAGGGGATGCTCAGCTATTATGTTTCTCTCCTTTGCGGAAAGAAGTTTTCCAAGAGCAAGAACATTCTCTGGACTGGTGGGGGCTGTTAAATGTCTTACAGCACAATAGAAATATTATGGAGCCACAAAAAATGTTGAGAAGGACCTGTGTTTACTATTGTGAATTGACTACAACAAATGTTAAGTGGGGAAAAAAAAAAAAAAGCAGGTTAGGGAACACAATGAGGATGTGTTACTTTCATGATGAAAAAAAGAGGCTGTTTTCATGTTGATCGGAATGGCACAGGTTTAGTGACTCTGCGCCAGTTTTAATGAGGCCACCAGGGAGACAGGAAAACAAGGAACTACAGCTACACTCAAGTCAGGGCTCAGCCTCTGAAATCAGCAGGAGTGTTGCAAACGCGCGCCTCATCCCAGCCTCGCGCGCCTCATCCCAGCCTCGGCTGGCCTCCACCCCAACCCTGGTGTGGGGATGGAGCTGGGCAAGCAGAGGGTGCCCCTGAGTCCCGGCTGGGGTGGACCAGGCCTCGCTGGGCTGGGAATTAAGGGCAGATGGGACTGGCACAAGGCCTTACAGTCATGTATAAGGTGAACTGGGACCAAAATCCAGCTCTCCGTCTTTTTCCCCCGCTGAGTCACATGCTCCTCCTAGGAGACCAAGTTTGCCAGACTTCTTTAAAAAGGAACAGTTTGCTCGAAGTATACTGCAGCTAGAAGCACAGGGCAGAAGCATGAAAAAGAGCTGGCAGGAAGCCGGCTGCCTGGGAAAGGCAGGCACCTGAACACCGGAGGGTGGGTGCCGGCCGAGCGGCAAGGCCCCAGGCACAAAATGATGGTTCTCAGACCACAGCCACTGCCGGGGTCCTGTTGAGTAAGGGCGCACTTGCGTAGCACCTACCACAGGCCCTACTATGCCCCTACTGCTTTCTCTTAAATCCACTCTTTCCTTAAGCCCATGCTAAGCAAGGTTATCCATGAAATCAGGGATTCTATTTTTTCTGTGATAATAACTGCAAAACTATTGAAGAAATATTTGTTCGTATGTCACCTAAAAGAACGCTGTGCACCAGGGTCAGGCAGGACTGGCCCAATCCCTCCCAGGTTCTTCCCAGCACACAAAGGTCACGGCTGCCTAGCACCCCCACAGCGCCCTGGACATGCCATGCCCTTCATCACCTTGTGCTGCCAGAATCTGTTCAGATGGCCTTGGCCCCTTCCAGATGGCAAGCACCCTGCCAGAAAGGACTAAGCTCTCCCAAGGCTTGGGCCACGCCTAGGGTGAGGTGGGCCGGTCTCGAAGGCTGCCTGCTGTTCAACCTCTCACCTCTGGGTGGCGCTGGGTGAGAAGAGAGGTGAGCCCCGCATCACCACAACACAGGTCTCGGTACTAGCCTCCCACTCACCTGGCCCTTCCATCCCTCAGTCACCCACTTATCCTGCCCCAGCCCAGCACGGTCAAGGGGAGTGGGGCCCAAAGAGGCTGAGACATTGTCTCTGCTGTCAAGGAATCCCTAACTGGTGGGACAGCAAGTAGCGTAAGTGCGATGGTGTTTGAGTGGTGCAGAGAGGGACAGAGATAAGGAGGTAGTGGGAGAGAGATAAACCTCCCGCAAATGACCATCCAAAGTCGGCCCCAGGGCTGGCCCAGTGGCTGCACGGCACGGAGCCAGGAGATGCAGCCGGTGACACAGACAAGCCCCGCCCAGCACCTCATCTTTTCCTCAATGCCCCATCCTCCTGACTACTACCCCACCCCTCTCCCGCAGCCGCACTTCCCACACTTCCCGTCCACCCCGGCACCCCTCACTCTAATGGGCTTGGCTTCTCTTTCTCAGCCAAAGAGGAAGGCTGCCCCCCTGCCCTCCTGTCCTCCAAATGCCCCCACACTCTCCTCCCTCCACCCTATTCATAGCTGTGGTGCGGGTGGGCAGCCCAGGCAGGGCCTGGAACAGGTGTGGGGGATCAGGTGACTGACAGATGAGCCGAGACAGCCGCAGCCCCGGAGTGGGGGCAGGAGGGGCTCAGATTCATTGTCATGTGCTGGTATGTGCCTGGGAGAAATGTCAGGGCCCAAAGGGAGCAGCTGGGATGGGGGCTGGTCTGGGGTACCCTCCTCCCTCCAAGGCCTCAGCTCACCTCTGCCCGGCATTTTCAATTTGCAGACTGGTGTTAACAACCCTGTGTCCAAGAGCCCCCTCCCTCCCACCCCGAGGACAGAGGTGGCCCCAGCTGGTCCCACATGTTGTGGGGAAGGAGGGAGAGACTTCAGCTTCTCAGTTGCCCCTCCAGACCCCACATGTCCCACCCAACAGAGCACAGCCTCACAACTCAAGCCTTCGGGCACCGCGAAGCCAGCCCCAGGGGAAGTGATTGGTCCAGCTGCGAAGAACTACTAAGAACTACTACCGCAATCCCATCAACGAACAGCAACTTTCAGTGGGGATGGGCTAGGAGGCTGGGCTGGGGACATCAAAGCTCTCCTCCCACTCCATGAGGGCCCTGGTCAACTCCCCAGTGTGCATGCCCAAGGCCTGGGCTGGGAAAGAAGGGAAGGCTTCGGGGGAGGCAGCTTTGTTTCCATGTCTGAGCAGCTTTCCTTTCTAATGGTGTGCGGCGAGCCTCACAACAGCTGATGGCAGGGGAAGGAGTGGCCAGGCCAGGGTGGAGAAGAGGGTTCCAGATGGCTGGGAACACCAGAGCTGGCTGTGAGGACCCCATGGGTGACCAAAAGGCTCATGCTTAGCAAACAGGAGCATTTCTTTTCTCCCCCATCACAGATTTGTACTCCCCTGGAGCCTCTGCCCTCCCCACACAGGAGGGACCAGATGACTGCCAAGGAGCCCTGGCCGCCGACATGCCCCACCCCGTCTCTGATTTCACATGTCCTCTCCCTGACTGGTCTGGTCTTCAGAGAGGGCTTGGCTCTAGGGGCTCAAGCAAGGGGCAGGGGCACCTCAGGGTCCTCAGAGACATAGCCTCCTGCAGGTCCTCAAGAACAAAACTGCTGATGGTTCAGACGGAGAAACGGGCCCAGAGAAGCGGAGATTCGCTCAGGCCACAGCTCTTGAGCAGCAGAGCAGAGACGAGAGCCTCTATGTCCCAGCTGGAGCCCACTGCTGCCCCCCTGCTCTCCCAGGACACACCAGGAGGGCCCCACCTGTAGCCCACCACGCTCTCCTATATCTGTATACCTGTTATTGCCCCAGGACCCTGAGATCTGCTCCAGATCCTCCCACTTGGAATGTGAGCTCCTGGAAGACACGGGCCGTGTTGGGTCCACACAGCAGGGGTCATGTGCACAGCCCACGGGCAGAGTGCAGAGGCCACACAGGGAACCAGCCTGACCAATTTCCTCAGCACCAACTGTCCCCTCCCCCTTCCCTTCTCCCATCCATCAGTACCTCCAACCTCCCCGAAAACATGAGAAGGAAGGAGGGGATGTGGGCTATAAGTAAGGTTGGAG